AGCTAATAATTAAAAATGCAGTAAGTTACCTCCGTCATTACAGCAACAGAAGTAGGATCATGACCACGCCAAACATAGTCTCTCACTTTCATCCCTTCTGCAGCTGCACCTTCCTTGACAGCTTTTATGGCAACAATAAGAGAGGCGCCTAACCAAAATATAAACTTTAAAAGAGAGAAAGGAACAGAAAATAAAACAGAGAACACAGTAGATCAAATTAAAATGAATATACCAGTACCTTCAATGAGAAATGAACCACCTATCACCAAAGCTGCAAGCTGCATGTTCTCAGGGGGCTGAAAAGAAAACTCACAGATTCATACATTATTTATGAAATATGTGCTAAGAAGAAAGAAAAGGTCATAAATTAAAGTTGCAGATTAAGAAGTGAAAATTACAAGATTTAATCTGATCAAATACCTGAGCGATCCACAAGTTTTGAATCCCATGAACAACAGTAGCACCAGAACCAAGGCAAAATATTCCAACAGCAGATATTAAAGACCAAACAAATCTTTCCTTGGAATAGCCGTAACTGTAGAAACACAATATATCATTTTGCAACATTAACTAAAGATGAAATAAATGTCACTGGTCAGCTGTGCAAATAAATTGCCGGTATGTACATGATGCATCTTGTGACATTGCGGCATATAAACTTAAGTCATGTTTAATTTGTAACAATTATGCAGCTAATAAGTACAATTCACTGAATGACTAGGTTCAATAGCTATTCTTGGTTTCATGCATTCCCTCATGCGTTCCATACAGGATAACTTGGTAGTATACAGCATGTGGATATACAGGTACTGAATGCATGTGCAGTCACACATGAGCTAAGAGATGGGAAACTGGCAAATGTGATTAAGAATGTGCAACTCACGGATGAATAGCATCAGGTGCACGCCTTGAACTACTAAGACCATAAGCAAGCAGTGCCTACAATGTGTCAACAATTAGTTTCTCTGGAGCCAATATACAATAAAACAATTTAAAATCCAAGGTAAGTTTACGCCAATCAATTTATTATACAAAATGCAACAAAATACCTGGTTTGCAAAATCTGCAATTGAGTGCACAACTTCAGCAAACATAACATGGCTAGAGGAAGCTAACCAAACTCCAAACTTGAGAGAAAAGACAAGAAAGTTACACCACAATGCAGTTGTTACAGCCCGCTGACTAAAGAAATGAAGAAACAACAAAAAAGATAAGAAATATTAGCTGTTGGTCGAAAGAAAAAAAGATTATCTAACATACGCGAATCAAGGACATGCCATTGTGTTATGCTGCAAGCTCCAAGGATCGAAGCAAAATTTCTAAGTCAAACTCATTGAAACAAGTCAACGCCGAAATGAGGAAGAGTTAAGCATAGTTAAACCTGTGGCGATCATTGAAATCAATCTTCTTAAATTGTTTTGCCCTTGTAAAAAAACCTACAAAAGATAAACCAAACCAAAGATTTTAGAAATGGGCGAAGGAACTCGAGAACCATATATAGTAATTAAAAAAAAAAATCTTACTCCGATGCAACGAATACTGAGGATAATGGGGAGGATTTAAGTGACGATGGCCATCCAACCCAAGAAAGCCAAGCAAAGCGAATCGTCTTGAAGTTGCCGCCGTCGGAAAATTGCCTCGTAACAGTAAAGAGGAACCAGATGGGGCTTGGGCGATACTGCTATCACTTGTTTGTGGTAGTTGATGTTGAGAGGTGTGAAATAATAAAAGCTGTGAGAAATTAGCGGAACGAAGTGAACATTTGACGATGGGGATGGATTGAAAAGTGTGTTGCTGTGAGCGGCTAAAACGATGCCGAAGAAGGAGGTATGATGTTCGCATGAATGCTCGCAACTGTATCTATCGATACAAATTCTGTGTCTCCGAAAATTTTCAAGCTGAAGAAGAAAAATAGACAAGTATGAAAACGAAAAAGGAAAGAAACGATAAGCAGATTAGGGTTTCAGGTTTTGTAGATGAGAATGAAGCACAGAGATGGAGGGAGAAGGATGCCGAGTTGAAAACTTGGAAAATGGCCTACTGGACTGCTCCATGGCTTCTCTTCCTCCTCCCTCCCTCACGGTCTTCAAACGGGGCTTTGGAAATTAATTAAAAATAAATCATTCAGTACGTTTTAATTTAAAGCAAATCACTTGACACAAAACTTATGTAACCATCAACCATGCAACAAAGTATCTTTTAAGTGTATATTATATGGAAATATTTTCAGGTTTGCAAATAATTGATGATAAATTACACAAACTTAAATAAAAGTTGTACCCATTGGGCATCAACTATTAACTAAATTTCATATAACTTTAGACAACAAATTTGTAATAGAAAATTTTTTAGTAATTTTTTTTTCATTTTCCTCCCAAAATGTTATCTCTAAAAAACTTTTTTTTTTATGTAACATTGTAACTTAATATATCCTCAAATTATTTTGGACCTGGAAACTAATTTCTGTTAGATATAGTTAAAACTCTTCCAATAAGTAGATTTTATTTTTCAGGATTTAAATTTATATTCTTCCTATGAGATTGAGACCCCTTATCATCTCAATTATAACTTTATTAGCATGTTTATCTTAATGTTGTTTTTTTTTTTGGTGAATTATCTTAATGTTGTTTTATGAAAATGGTAGAGGGGTACTAAAAGAAAAAGAAGAGAGATTCCAGAGGATCTAGATCCATTAATTAAGGATAGAAATAAAAAAAATTAAAAATACTATAATTTTATTAAAACTATCTGCTCCCGTTTTTAATATAGTAGTAAGAGCTAATTTGACATTTAATTTAGTTTTAATTATAGGATTTTAATTCAGTTTATCTCTCATATTTATTCATTTTTTTAAAGTAATATTTATAGTAGTTAATTAGTTATACATGTAAGTTTCATCAAGTTGTAATTTTAGCTAATAAACATTATTAGTAAGAGTATTTTAGAAAAGACAACACTTATTTATTACAAATAATTTACTTAACTAATTTTTTTAATCCACTCAAATTAGTTAACTAGTTCTTATACTGAGAATAGGAATAATATTTTATTAATAAGTGTTGACTTAATTTCATTTTATGAAAATAACTTAGAGAATGATTTTTAGCAAAGGCTTAAAATGACAAAATTTAGATTAAATTGCTTATAACCATTAGATTGAGTTAATATGTAAATTTATAAGTTTTACATTTGTATTTCTATATGAAAATTTATAAATTTTCAATTTAATACATTTTTAACATGTGATAATGAGTTACAATCTTAGAAATTAGTAATGATTAATTACAAACCTCACTTTTTTTGGGGCCAATCTCGCTTTTTTTTTTTTCAAAAACAAGAAAAAGCAAATAAAAGTGAAATAGACCAGGGGCCTATCAAAGACTTTTGGCTTAGCATGTATTTGGTCTAGTTTGACCTGACTTGCTTCAAAATTAAAAAAAGTCTGATCTGATCTGTTTATTTATCTTAATTTTTAATTTTTATTTTATACTTATATCTAATCTTATTTCAAATTTTAATATGTACTTATAACTTGTTTTCAATAATATTAATTGTAATTAAAATTTAAACTATTACTTATAACATTAAAATTTAAATAAAAAATAATTATTATGTAGTATGCATATTTTATTTTTTTATTAGTCTATGTATTTTTTACTATACATTTTAAAAATACAAGTTTTTTTTAACAGGTTTAAGTCAGGTCAGGCTTTTATACATATTAGACTCAGACTGAAAAAAAAAAACCATAATAAATTATAGGCTAAGTTTAGACCAACTTGTCCTATTTCACCCCTAAAAGCAAACCAATTTGCAATGTGAAATAGTTCGTATTGTCGAGGTCACGAGGGTACATATAATGATGAAATATTGGGTTGAGAAAAATGTTGACTTGGAAAAGTGGGTAATGTTCCCCTGATCTCATTCCTCATCATCACCTCACCACAATATATTACCCTCCAATTCCCACTTTCAACAACAACGAAAGCCGGACAGGAGCTTCCATTCCGAGGCATTTTTTTCCCGTTACTCTCTCATTTGGTTCCTGCTTTTTCCTCTCTTCTCTCTTTCTCCCCACTTGCTCTTACCCTTCCTCTTCATTTCTTCCCCTGTGGAGGTATCTGGCTTCGTTTCTGGCTTTTTGTGCAGATCAAGACAAAACCTTGCTGCTATTCTATCAATCCCCTGCGCTGCTTCTGTTCGTTCAAGTTCTTCCTTCGTCCCGGTGTTTCCTCTTTTATTGCCCTTATGTCCGTATTCAAAACGAATCTATAGTGGGTCGTTTAATTAACGGCGATTGAAGTTGTGGGTATTGTCTTTTTCGCTGCTTTATAGCTAGTTAATCTGATTATTGTTAAATGAGTACTTATTCTGTAAACTCAGCAATATCGATTGTTTGGCAGAGTTCTTTAATTAACTAAGTGTGTCCATCATAGTTAGTTCTAGCTTTGTCTCCCTCTATTTTATTGTATTGGCTAAATTTTTACTGTATCTAGTAATGGAGCACGCTTCAAACAGGATGTTTGCTTTTCTGTGATGGAATGTCTGCCCATCTGCAAAGGAAAGAGAAATCACTTGAAGATTGAGTTGAAACTTAAATTGTGATAAGTAAATTGATCCGACTTGATGTCAAGGTTCAATGCTGGCGTGTGATAATTATCTGTGGTTCTCTGGTTCTGTTTGTTTCCATGCCCATTATTGGATGCTAACCTTGTTTCAGCATTTCTTTCCTTTTTGACCTTAAATTTTGATATAATCCATTTTTAGAAGAAAAAATAATGGGATGAAATATTACATCTCACTTTATGAATGTGATTAACGTTATATTTCCCTATGATGCCATGTAGTGTGCACACCATAATGCAGTTAACTACCTATATGTGTTTTTCAAACATAAAAAGTGCTCTCCATAGTTTGTGACTGGGTTTTTACCCCCCTTCTATTTTCTTTAATAAATCTTTCTGCCATTTCTAAAGGTGTTTTCCGGGTCTTTCTATACTATGGATGGTATTCATGGGAGTGATTCTCGTATGCACATGAGTGATGCACAACATTCGATGCATGTGCCCTATGTGCCAGAAAACGAACAACATGGATTGGACCATATGAGTGATGGAAATAGGATGGAGGACAATAACAACTGTGGTGATGCTAATGTCAGCAGACATGAGAGTGTAGAAGGAGAAGTTTCCAACCCTGGAAATGTCACTGATGATCATGGTGCGATAATTGAACAAGCTAGTGGTGACCAGCTCACATTGTCTTTTCAAGGCCAGGTTTATGTATTTGACTGTGTGTCGCCGGAAAAGGTGCATTAACCTAACTGACTTTCTTTGTGTTTTTACTGTGTTCTTACATACTATGCAGGGTTCAACTATTTATTGATATATCTTTCATAAAAATAATGAGGCAAAGTGAAGTATTTTGATTTAATTATTTAAAATGTTTCATATGAGAGGATTTCCACATTATTACGCCCTAAACTCTTAATTGAGGATGCTTGAGTTTAGAATTAGATGAATTAATAAAATTGCAGCCAAGTAGATTAATTAGTTTCTACTTCTGAATCCACACCTATTCACTTTGGCAAATATAGCTATAATATGTTATAGTGGACAGCTATGGACAATGAAAAGAGAGGGGTCTATATGCACTATTCATTTCAGCCTGTTGTCTATGCATGCTTATTTTCTCAATTTTCCCTTGCTAAAACTATCTGTTGATCATGGATTAAGTACAATCCTGCAAGAAATGTTGATTGGTCTTCTTTATTGCGTAGGTATGGACATGCAATGCATCTCAATTTGCAGCTATTTTAATGTGGAGAATTTTATCTTAATATGATATAACATGTTTTATGACATATAGATGTAGTAAAATACTGTTTCGAAGGGTGAATGTGGTGTCTGATAATCCATGATCTGTTCTTGACCTACTAATAACGGGCTATTGCCTCCCTGATTTAAAAGGCTAAAGGAAATGATTTCTGATAATCCTTAGGTTTCACTTCAGGTTCAAGCTGTGCTGCTACTATTGGGAGGCCGT